GGATGAAAGATGGGGCTTTCCCGTTGTGGCAAGTTCCTCAAGTATTCCATGTTCTTGTTCAACTCGGTCATATTGGTGAGTACATAGTCGATACACGTGGTGAGCAAATAAAGAGGTTGGACGTGAGTCTGGTATAAAAGGTGAGGGGGGGGGGGGGGTTCGTACATCAACCATGTTACAATTTTATATCAAAATTTTACCACCTCAACCCAACCCCTTTATTTACCCTACCTTCAAATGAATACACCGCCCCCACCCCACCCGCAATTACCTAAAATTATGTTTTTAAGTTGTTGATTTATGTTACGTCCAACGTTCTTACACCACATCCCCGCCCCAACCCCGCTCTTCCACCTTCAACCCTCATCACACATAGTCACCCCCTCTGCCCTTTTTTTTTCCTCAATGAGTATGACGTCACAGTGCCAGAAATTTCACGAACCACTCGAGACACCGGTACATACAAATAGTTATTGTAAAGGGAGGACACTGCAGTCTTAAAGTTTCCAGGATCAACACTCCACAACTGCACCGGTTCGCACAGTCCCCCCCCCCCCCCCCCCCCCCAACACACGATAGCACTCGAGACACTTTGCTTCTCACAATGTAACCTTAACCCAGGCGTCAACAGACACACGACGTTTGTCTAGTTCAAGTGTTCAAATAACAGTGTAGGTCAAAAACTACGGATTCGGACACAAATGAAAAGTCAGAGCTTCTGCTTGTCTGATACCGTTCCTGCTATAAGAAGTCAATAATGTTGAGCATTACTCGCGGCACATGATCGCACACGATTGAGTACTAAATAGTTTGCATTGAAAGGAGTTAAAATGAAAACAACATGAGTTATGCAGTTGTGATTAGCACATGTTTGCAATGGTCAAGAGTTGAGGAAATGGCGGTAGAGTGGATATCAACATCATCATCTCTCTACGCCCATTGGCACACAAGGCATTAACAAGGGAATGCCATTTATCCTGCCTCTAGCTATAACCTCCGCCTGTTGGAAAGTTAAGCCTCTTCCCATTAATTCTTCTTCCATTGATCTTCTCCGTGTTTCTTTTGGCCGTTTGCTCTTGCCCTGTGGTGTCCATCTGAGAGAAGTCCTAGCCAGTGCGTCTGCTCACAATCTTAGCTCATGACAAACCCCAACCACCTGTGTCTGATAACCTAAAGTAAATGGTTGCATGGGTGTTCTTTTTAACTCCTCGTTGAGATAGTGTTTGGTCAGAACATTCGTAATATTGTCCTACGCGCTTATAGTGGACAAGAGTCTAGAATATCAAATCTAGCTGTGTCAAGCTCTAAACTACTAGTTAAGAGTTCAATTGATTCAGAATGTTGGCGGTGGATGAGTATGAAACCCGTTTTGTTTTATCAGTCACTCACCGCATTAAGACAAAATTACAGTAGAAAAGCTGAATTTTTGTCTTTAAATTTTAAGTGAGTGAATGTACTATATTAAATTTCTGTTTTTTTTCCCCTGATTTCTGGGCTATTAATCAATATACGCATTCTCAGATATCTTCATATCATAGCGTAATCGATTAGTAGAGAGTTTGGTAGCTAGAATGTAGGTCTCGTGATCGAATCTCGGTTAGGACTTGACACTGAAGAACATCCCTGAGTCCACCCAGCTCTGATGGGTACATGACATATGTTGGGGAAAGTCGGCTGGGTATAGTACTGACCACACCATCTATTCATATGCCAAAGTCAAGAAACAATTGAACTAATCTGCCTAATTGATCACTAAAATCTAAAGAGGAATCTTTGCCTACACATCTTCTAGTTTATTTTATTGCAAAACCAAACAGGCAAAGTGAAAAAGCAAACACTGAGCTTGATTCGAGTTGTCTGAAAACTGTTTTCTTCTACCTCGAGATGGAATCATTTACGTCAGCAGAAACCACGTCAAGGCCACATTGTTGGAATACATCATCAGACTCCACGTGTACTCTTGTAATTCCTGCCGACATCCCTAGCACCGAATCACCTGGGCAACACGACACGGTGGAATGGGATGCCTGTCTATCAGCCACGGTGATGGTGGGGGGAGGGGGGATATCACAGGAAGGTGTGACAGTCACACGTGACACGTGATGGGCGCGCGCAGTTATGTCAAGGTCACGCGAAAGGTCAAGGGGCAGGATTCGGTCATTTTGTAACAGTTCTCGTAACTTTCTCAAGTTAAACTGACGAAACTTGTACAATTTTATTGTTTCAACTTCAACGAATGTGTCACAAGTTGGGACTGATCTAATAAAATATTTTACTCAATAACCAGGGATTTTCAGAATGTTCTCAAAGGGAAGATATTTCTTTATCTCTTTATAGAATCCCAGAATTTTTTATCAGCAGGATGTGAGTAAAAATTTAATGAACGTACTAAACTTAATCCCAAAAGCAAAAGACTAGCAATGGTTTTTTTTACTGTTAAACTTTTAGCAGATACATCTTAATTTAGAAGAACAATAATAATTATCGAATAAATTTTTAGTTTCGTCATGAAAATAACAGTGCGTTTATCTGATGATACTTAATTGATCGGAATAAAATACGTTCACACAACATTGGGAATTAGGGTAAATCAGTGGCATAGCCAAGGGGTGTTACGGAGGGGGGGGGGGGGGGAGATTAGTCAGTGGCGTAGCCGGAGAGGGGAGTATTGTTTGTGGCACCCCAAACTGACCTAGTGCACGCATTCCATAGCACTAGTGCTCGCTTCCCTTAGCACATGTCTGCGCTTCAATTAGCACTTGACCGCGTCCCCCCAGCTTAAAACCGCTGCCTCAGTTCAAGGGCTAGACAGTTCTAACGGACGCCTGGAAAATTCGAGGAAAAACATAATTTAGATACAACTTAACTTTATAAATATTTTAAACTAAGCCAGGACAGTTTTTTTTATACCGAGATAGAGAAGTTCACGAATCATACAATGCTGAAATGTTATTAAAATCCTAAAGCACTCTTGCTCTCTTCGTTTCCCTCTCATGGGAACTAATAGGGGGAGGGGGGTGCGAGTAGGGTAGGGAGGGGATTGATAAAGTATTGCTGAGTTTAGATTTAAAGAATTTACGTCGGCAATAAATAACTGCTGATTTATATGCTAAAGGAATTTAATATAGTAGAGAAGGCAGACAGTCTTTACATGAGTATTTTAAAAGGGTTTTCAATGTTTAGGAACATCACATCGCTAGACTGTTAATGCGCTTTATATTGAGTTTTTTAAGGGGATATAAATGGGAGATCTAGTTAGAGAGAGCAAGTAGAGGGTCTGTTAAGGGGTTTTAAACAGGGGATCTGTAAAGGGGTTTTAAATAGAGTATTTGTTTTTAAGAGACTGTGAATAGAAGATAGGTTAGAGTAATGAGCCTCATAAACAAATGTTAAAATAACTTTGAAGATGTCAGACAAATGATCTCAGGACAAATGATTTCAGACAAACAAATTCAAGTGCAAAAGATCTCTGAACAAATAATCTCAGGACAAATGATCTCAGACAAAATAACCCCGACAAAATATCTCAAGAACAAATATATATCAAGACAGAGATATCATGAAATATATGACACAATTTATATCTTACAGCAAAATACATGCAGTATTTAGGTATGTCAATATCGTTCCCCTTTTGTGTTCATTACACATAGGCACAGAAAAATATCTCCTCTTTTGTCGGTCTTGTTATTCCCCCAAGATAGATCGGCTCTTATCATTCCCCCCAAGATAGTCCGGCCTCTGCCCCAAGATAATCCGGCCACTGCCCCAAGATAGTCCGGCCACTGCCCCAAGATAGTCCGGCCACTGCCCCAAGATAGTCCGGCCACTGCCCCAAGATAGTCCGGCCACTGCCCCAAGATAGTCCGGCCACTGCCCCAAGATAGTCCGGCTACTGCCCTAAGATAGTCCGTCTCTTGTCAGCCCCCCCCCCCCCCCTCCCAAGATAGTCTCGTCGTGAGATCTATTATCATTGGACCATTTAAAAAAAAACGTCCTATTCCACTAGCTGTGAGTAAGATATAATCAATGTCAGAAAGAATCGAAACAATGTTTCTTCCAGATACCTAAGCAGATATGCACCTTCTCTGCTGTCAAGTAGAGCTATGCTGCACATCTCTACTGCACACACGTCACTTTGAGATCCCCAAATGTGCTATGGATGCGGCTCTTGCATATTTCAGCAGCGACCCCCAGACAGAAAATTGTGGCGGGCTTTGTTGAAATGTCAGAATGTTGTTTTGAGGGAAAAGGGGGAGGAGGGAGGTTACACGTTAACTGTAGGTTATCTAGTGTTAATTTTTTTCTTTTTTTTTTTTTTTGAAAAGGGGTGGGGGTTATTCAAAGCAGACTGTACACTTCTTCTTCGTTCTGAATTTCTTTTTTAAGTTGGAAGGACTTTCCTCCAACACAATTAAGTAACACTTATCAACTTGTTATAGGCCGTTGACTCCGATTTCAGCCTGCTTTTCTTTTTGGATTTGCTTCCATAGCCATTGTTAACCAAGAACAAACTACAAACAAACTCTTCTATAGTCTATATGGTACAGTTTACTGATACGTGGTACAGTTTACAGTTAGTTGGTACAGCTTAAAGATATGTGGTACAATGAGCTGATATACCTCACAGTTTACTGATATACTGCTCAGTTTACATACTAAAACATCGCATAAAATTGAGAATTGCGTTTCATTTTCTTCAAAGCCAAACCGGCAAAGGCAATTATTTATTTAAACTTGACTTACAAGCGCCTTTGAAAACTTGCCAGAGACCCAAAAAATAAACAACTCGGTTCGAAGTTTCTTAAGTGTTCTTTAATTTTTTAAATTCTGCTTTCAAATCAAAGGCTTTTAAAAGAAACGACTTCCGTGTATTATTTTTTTTTATCGAAGCTAGCGGACGTCACGCTCTTTAGTTCTGACTTGTGTGACGGTGTGTGACGTTGTGTGACGGTGTGTGACGATGTAATGTATGTGTGAGGGGTATGGTGAGCATTTTATTTGTATTTTTAAATGGACACATATTACGAAGAGTAAAAATATTTGTTCTTATAGGTGGGGGGGGGGAATGAGGA